CGCGTAGAAAGCAAAATCAAAATCAAAAACAAAAACAAAAATGGGAGAAAGAGGAAAAAGAAAAACAAAAGAAAAAGAAAAAAGAAAAAAACAGAAGAAAATGATTTAGTACTAACAAAAACATGATTGAATGCAGGAGTCTCTAATCACAAAAAAGGGAAGAGGAGGGCAAGAACAAAAAGAGGGGAAAGGAAAAAAAAAATCTGTAGCTTAATGTAAGTATGTCTTTAATATCCTAAGTTCCTGGCTGCCTGAGAGATTTTGCCTTTAAACTCTCAGACACTTCTGCCCTCCTCTCCTTGTTGTTGTTAAGTGCTGTAGAGTCAATTCTGACCCACAGCGACCCTGTATAGGGTTTCCAAGGAGCAGCTGGTGAGCTTGAACCACCGACCTTGCAGTTCAAAAGGCTTTGCAGTCTGGCGCACTTACCCACAGCACCATACCGGGACTCCTCTTATACCTGTGATAAAAAACAGGCCAAAAGGGAAGCAGCTCAGCGTCACAGCTTGGGCTTAGTGTCTGTGCAGATTCCTGGCAGAAGAAACTGCCCATAGTGAGGGTGGGGGATGGTCACTCAGCTCAGGCTCTTCCTCTATTCACTAGAATTCAGGAGGGCAATCACTGAGTGCATCAATTACCCGATACCAAAGAAAAAAAAATAAAATAAAATCAGAACAGCGCAAAACTAACAAAGTATGTTGTGCACCTTTTTTTTCCTAAGGTTCCCACGGTGTCTCTGCAGCCCCTATTTGGTCCTGCTGTTTGGTCTTGCCCAGGGTGGGCTTAGACCTCCGAGCTCGGCCTGGCAGATTTAAAATTACGCGAATTTTTACTTCAGCTCCAAACTCCACAAGTTATAAGCCTTCAAACCTTTAAAATATTCCTATCTCTGTGGGTCTGAGTTTTGGAACTCTGTTCAGGCTCTTTTTTGCCTGGTTTTCTGTGTTATTGCTGACGGCGACTTTACCTACACCTACACCTTAATCGCCATTGACTTCTGAGCCCCCATAGTATTTTTAATAACCTCTTATGCATTAGAAATCTGGGCAGTGAATAAGGAGGACCATAGAAAAATTGATGCTTTTGAGTTATCTTGTTGGAGGAGAATATTGAAAGTGCCATGGGCTTCCAAAAGAACCAATAGATCCATTTTGGAAGAAATGCAGCCAGAGTGCTCCTTGGAGGCCAAAATGGGCAAACTTTGTCTCTCATACTTTGGACATATTGTCAGGATGGACCATTCTCTGGAAAAGGATATCATGTTTGTTAAGTTGGAGAGTCAGAAAAAAAGAGGAAGACCCCCAACGAGATGGATTGGCCAAGTGACAGCATCAATAGACTCAACTGTGGCAGAAAATAGTGAGGTTGGCCTAGGATCTGGCAGTGTTTCGTTCTGCTGTGCATAAGGTTGCTATGAGTCGGTACCAACTTGATGGCACCTAACAACAACAACGACAACAACAACATGACAATATATAGTATATGTCTCACAGAATTAAATTTTAAAGTAAATTGACCAAAGTTGGCTCAATCTCAGTGATGGTTTTATAATTCTTATATAAGAGAAAATATTCCTTAGGTCATTTATCATCGTCTCCATGCTCGAGCTGGAGTAATCTGACTCAGTGTTTTTCAAACTGTGTTACTTATCCTATTATTGGTTAGTGGAATAAATATAGTTGACCTCAACAAGCATTTCATTTAAAAAAATTAGAGTGTGCTATATTTTGAAACTTGTCTCAGTGAAGTTTGTATGTATAATGGATCATAGTTCATAATGTAAAAAAAAAAATTATTTAAGATTAGTTATGGTCCAAAAATTTTCAATGGCAATTGGTTTAGTATAACTGTTTTATAATACAGATAAATACCTAGAGGAATGAAATCATTGAATGAATAGTCCAGTGAAAAAAAAGCGGTATATAGATAGTTGTTTTTGTTGTTGTTGTTAAGTGCTGTCGAGTCATTTCTGTCGCATAGTGACCTTGTATAAGGTTTCCAACGAGTAGCTGATGGGTTTGAACTGCTGACCTTATGATTCGCAATCCAGTGCTGTCTTACAGCACCAGCTGTGTCTAATATCCTTCCCACGTTATGGGAGTAGGACTGTTGAACACATATGAAAATTTATGTTTTGTAACCTGGCGTCTTTTATCAAATAAAGAGAGATGAATGTAAGTTTTTGTAAACCTCTATAATGATACATGAAGGAAAAACTGACACTTTCCAATTTTAGAAACACCACAATTAGAGGGATTTGGCTGAATCAAGGGAACCTACAGTAAGAGATGTTGTTTTTGTGTGCTATTTAGTTGATTCTGACACATAGCAACCCTTTATAGGGTTTCTGAGGAGCACCTGTTGAGTTTGAACCACCATCCTTGCAGTTCAAACTGACCTTCAGGTCAATTGCTTTTCCTAAGGCACCACACCAGTGCAATAAGAGATATTAGGACAGTAAAATAAAAAACAAAATTGCATTCTTAGCAGATACTGGAATAATAGTAAGTAGAACTAAAGAAGCAACGTGTGTTTATATACCTAGACTTTTGTTCACAGTACCACTAAAACCAATGTAAAGGAAAGCTAAACTAGAGGCTGAAACATCTCACTTCCTCAGTTTACTGTGTTGTTATGTGCCATTGAGTTGTTTCTAATTCATAGCGACCCTGTTTTCGTGGCTGTAAATCTTTGCAGTAGCAGAAACCCTCATCTTTCTCCCACAGAATGGCTGATGGACTCAACTGCCAAACCTGTGGTTCACAGTCCAGTTCTTAGCCTACACTGCCACCACACCCTCAATGTATTGTAGACATGACTATAATAGTTAAACCTGACAGAAAACTACCCTTATTTTTGCCTTTCCGAAACTTTAAAGGGAGTCCTGGTGTGGTGCTGTGGGTTAATACGCTGGACTGCAAGGACAGAACTGCAAGATTGGTGGTTCAAGCTCATCAGCTGTTCCTTTGAAAACCTATATAGAGTTGTTATGGGTTGGAACCAACTCCACAGCACTTAGCAGCAACAAATAACTATAAAGTTGCTTTTAAGCTTTGCCAACTATTTTTTTTACCTTTGTCTTTATTGATATATACTACACAGATATACTAAAAGTTTCCTGTTATTGAGTGTTGGAAAAACTTGTAGAGAGTAAAAGGACTTGCCTTTGGCTCTGTAGGATAAACATTAGATTGCAAACCGCAAGGTCAGTGGTTCATATCCATCATCTGCTCCTTGGAAACCCTATACAGGGTCCCATTCGTCAGGTTTAATAGCACTTAACAACAACAGCCTCATTTAATGAACCCTTTTATCTGATTGCCCAGATCATATTTAAAGAACTCAGGGTACCCAGATAAGCTTTTATTTGCATAATTAGTATGTTTTGAATAATGATCTTTTAAAACTAAGCTATTGCTCCGGTCCTTGAGTTTCAAACTTCTCTGAGAACCTGGGGTCCCTGGGAGACTACATAAAAGTGGTAGTAGGGACTCCTGGTATGGTGCTGTAGGATCAGCACTGGACTCAGAACCATAAGGCTGGAAGTTCAAACCCACCAGCTACTCCTCAGAAACCCTATAACAGGGTTGCAGTGAGTTGGAACCGACTCCACGAAACTTAGCAACAGTAGGGGTAAGGAGTCTTGGTGTGGTGCTATAGGATAAGCATCAGACTGCAAGGTCGGTTGGTATCACAAGGTCAGTGGTTCAGTCTCGCCTTCCACTCTTTGGAAACTATACAGCATCGCTATGAGTAAGAACCGACTCGATGACACAATGACAACAATAGGGATAAGGGAAAAGACCTCAAGGCAGGGTTCAGTCTTGAGCTTCCCAACCCCAGTTTAACCAGAACAACTTCACGTGTATACGTTTTATAAAAGGTGGCTTCAGAAAGTTCATGGAAGAAATTTCCTTGAGCTACTTGAAGCCACCTCAGGTATTGAAGTTCCTAGTGAAATTCTATTGGTAAGATTTTTTTGAAAATAATTTTGCTGTCAAAAAGAAAATTTGTAAAGAACTCTTAGATGTTTAAAGTATTTTTGGAAATGAATTATTTTGTTAGCAATTATTAGAGTATTCATTATTTTAAATCAGTAACATGGAGGAGTTATATACCTTTAAAAACCCTTTGCTGGTTACTTAGTTGAATATTTCACTTTCATACAATAAGCACCGGACTGTGAACCACAAGGTCTGCAGTTCGAGCCCTCTAGCCACTCTGCAGAAGAAAGATGAGACTTTCTGCTCCTTCTAAGATTTAAAGCTTCACAAACCCTATACAGGGTCTTTTGAGTCAGAACTGGCTCGATGGCACTTAACAACAACAGCAACAAGGACTTAATAAAAAAGAATATATAAAAGAGTCAATTCCAATTTAATATGGTGTCACAATGATGATTGATTCTCTATATTTTAATGCTTCATTATATACTTGAAAAAATGCAGTTGCAATTTTGAGTTTATTGTTGTTAAGTGCCGTCGAATCATTTCTGACTCATAGCGACCCTATATAGAGTTTCTGAGGAGCAGCTGGTGGGTGTGAACCACTGACCTTAAGGTTGTTGTTGTTAAGTGCTGTCAAGTTGGTTCTGACCCATAGTCACCCTGTATAGCATTTCCAAGGAGTGACTGATGGCTTTGAACTGTCGACCTTGCGGTTCAAACTGACATAGCAGTCCAGTGCATTATCCTGAAGTGCCACACCATGACCTTAATGTTAGCAGTCTTTAAAAAATAAGAACATAGACAAAGCCTCTTGTGTAGGTAATTATCACTGTTAGATTAAGAACACTTTTCTTAAATTTGACATGTTGACAAAAAGTATATTAATTAAATTCAGATCTTTAGGGTGTCTTAGCTATTGTCTTAGTATTATTACCTGAATAGCAATTTAACAAAAAATGATGACTCGAGGAACAAAGAGAATATTAAAATTATAAAATGTAAAGTCTTAGGTTGCATGTGTTTGGAATATAATAATTTGCTTGGCTTTTATAGGTTCTAGATTTAAGAAAATTGTTTATCCGCTGGGACTAGCCACTTTAGGAGCAACTGTTTGCTACCCAGTTCAGTCAGTAATAATTGCAAAGGTAAGTTCTCTTTAATTGCTGACAACCTATCAATATTTGTTTAAACTCCTAGTGACATTATTTAAATGTTTTATGGCACCTGTAACATTTAATTTCCATAGGTGTATAGTTTGTATCAGCTCTTACGTTAGTAAAATTGCATTAACATCTCAGCATGGTAAGTGATAATTACATGATTGTCACAAATAGGACAAATTTATTGAGATATAACTGAGCAATATAAAGGTCAATTTGAGAATTAAATTTAGAGGCACTGAATTAGGACTTTGGGGGAGAAATACTGCTTCATTTTTGAGCTATGTGGAATTGAATTTTTAATTAACACATAGTTACACCCGTTGGGGGCTCTTGAGTTCAGCAGATTAAATAATACAAGAAACAACCAATTGGTGTATAACACAGGCTTCAGAAGCAAAAAAAGGTGTACAAAGTCAGGTTTGAAACCAGTGAGAACTAAGAAACCCTGGTCATAAATGCTTATAGTTCTGTAGGTATTGTGAACTCATCTATAAGTCAGATCATTCTCCTAATGATTTGAACAATTTATATCTGTATTTTACAGTATTTTATATCTTTAGCACATGTTTGGATTGAGAGAGCAAGCTTTGGGAAATGTAGTCTTTTCTTCCTTTCCTTCTTTCCTTAATTGCCAACTTTTACCTGCACATTTGAAGTAGTCTGTAGTGTTACCAGAAGGATTTTCTGTACTTGTATTCTCGTTATTACATCTCTTTAATTGTTGATGTAGATCAAACTGCCTGTTTATCATTTTGAGAATGACAAGGATATAGTAATACGTAGTTTGTAATGTGTATCAGTTATGGCAAAGGAAGAAAACATTATTCATTAAATCTAAGACCAATTGAGATAATTGATGGGGAAAATGATTAACCTTTTTTTTTTTTTAAACTTTCATAAGAATTCACGTAGGAGTTATCCATTTAAGTTCATAAAACGTTAATGCTGCAGGAAACTCTGAACTCATTTACCAATAATGAAACTGGCCTAGAGAAGTTTTCACAGCGAATTACTTGCCCAGAGTCTTGCTCAATTCCAGGTGTTTTGCTTCCTGGTTCATTACCATTCCCAATGCATAATGCTACCATTGATTTTCCTTTAAAGTAATGACTTCCAGTGTTTTATAAAAATGATTCTTATCTTAATTTAAATTTTACAGAAACAACTAATCACACTAAATTCTTCTATCCAGAAAAAAAAAAAAAAAATCAGTGGTATTTTCAGTCCAGTGTCATTTATTCTAGACATTTCTCCAGATGTAGATAGATAAATGGGTAGATGGATAGATGATAGGCAGCTATAGATAGATAAAAAAGATAGATGAATAAATTGATGGTGGTTGTGGTTTCCTTCAAATATGTTGACCACGCTATGTTAATTGAGTGCATTGTTATAGCACTTGTATCAGTCCATCTCACTGAGGATTTCCCTTGTTTTGACTAACCCTCTACTTTACCAAACATGTTGTACTTTTCTAATGATTGGTCTTTCCTGATAATGTATTCAAAGTAAGCAAGCTCAGTTTTCGCCATTCTCATGCCTAAGGAGCATGTTGTTGTTCAGTGCCGTTGAGTCAGTTCCTACCATAATATCTTTATGCACAGCAGAATGAAACACGGCCTGGTCTTGCAGCATCCTCACAATTGTTGTATTTGAGCCCATGGTTTGTGCTACTGTGTCAATCCATCTCACTGGTTGCTGTTGTTGTTAAGTGCCGTCGAGTTATTTCCGACTCATAGCGACCCTGTATAGGGTTTCTGAGGAGCAGCTGGTGAGCTTGAACTGCCGACCTTGAAGTTCAAACGGCTTTACAGTCTGGCGCATTAACCAACAGCGCCACACCAGGACTATCTTATTGGTAGTCTTCCTCTTTTTCACTGACCCTCCAATTTACCAAGCATGATGTCCTTCTTCAGGGACTGATCCCTCCTGACAACATATCCAAAACACAAGAGACAAAGTCTAACTTCCTGGCTTCTAAGGAACATTCTGGCTGTACTTCTTCTAAGACAGATTTGTTTGTTCCTCTGGTAATCCATGATACTTTTAATATTCTTCTCCCAAACCATAATTCAAATGCATTGATTCTTTTGCAGTCTTCCATATTCAATATCCAACTTCCACATGCATGTGAGGAGACTGAAAATAGATATAATTTTATAAGGGTAGTATCTTTTTTGGGGGGGTGGGGGAGGTAACAGCTACTTTTATTAAAATGAAACCAGAGGGCAACAGGGACAGGAAGTTGGTAGATGGAGGGGCAACAGAGAGACAGTGAAGACAGGACTGCAGACTTATCAGAATTGCCTGGCAGAGTCAGCTGAGGTGTGAGAGTCCTGAGGTGACAGAGAAAAGGGAAAGGGTGCTCTTTGTACCCTCTGAGGCTGAAATAACGAGCTCTTAAACACAAACAGGAACCTTATTGCCCCTGAACCAAGGTGACTGAAATAGAAGATGTGACAAATCAGCATGAATATTATTAGTTTGAGTAGCGAAAATGAGAACACTTCTCTGCACTCATTTTAAAACCATGACGAAGACTGTACAGTGATCTGGAATGTAGGGGTGGGAAACAATAAATACCCTAGTGAACCACGTATAAAACAGACCACAAACAGGGGACTGGGACCTGAAGCTAACGCCTATATGGCCATGGAAGACAGCCATGCCACAATGCCACATGGAAGCACTGACACCCTCCCCCACCCACAAGTATCTTATTTTTAACTAATAATAAAAAAATAAGTTATCTTATTTTACTCTAACAGAAGAAAACATAATTTCAGATAAAAAATTTCTGTACTACAAGAAATGGAGTCCTGGTGTGGAGCTGTGGGATAAAACATTGGACCAAAAAGTTGGTTTGAACCACAAAGTCGGTGGGTCAAACTCACCAGCCCTGCTCCCTGAAACCTTATACAGGATTGCTATGAGTTGGAACCAACTCGACGCACTTAACAACAGTGATAACACAAGAAATATTAATCCTAAAAATCTATTCTATGACTATGCTACCTTGAAGAACAACAAGGAAGCTGCAAGCCACCACATAACATGGATGAACCTTGAGGGCATTATGTTGAGTGAAATTAGTCAGTCACAAAAAGAGAAATACTGCATAGGACCACTACTGTAAAAGACTAAGGGAAAGT